AGGTCAGGAGATCAAGACCATCCTGGCTAACACGGTGAAACCCCGTCTCTACTAAAAAATACAAAAAAAACTAGCCGGGTGAGGTGGCGGGCGCCTGTAGTCTCAGCTACTTGGGAGGCTGAGGCAGGAGAATGGCATGAACCTGGGAGGCGGAGCTTGTAGTGAGCTGAGATCCGGCCACTGCACTCCAGCCCGGGCAACAGAGAAAGACTCCGTCTCAAAAAACAAAAACAAAAACAGGGTGCCAGTGCAATCGTAACCGCTACCTAATTCCAGAACCTGTAACCCTCGAAAGGAAACCGTGTCCGTGAGCAGTCACTCCTGCCTCTTTCCTGTCCTCTGCTATCCTTCTGGGCAGTTCATCGGCGAGAATGTCCATTTCACGGACACGTGAGCCCCTGTGCCAGCAGCAAGAAGGACCAGATCCAAATGAGGGGGTCCCGGAACAGCCGGGGCCTCTGATTTTCCTCTTAAATTTTTTTTTTCATTTAGTGCTTTATAGCACTCCCTTAAAATTTCACTTTTAAAACTCTAGTTTGGGTGTGGGGGCTCACACCTGTAATCCCAGCACTTTGAGAGGCTTAGGCAGGAGCCTCGCTCGTGTCCAGCAGTTTGATTCCAGCCTGGGCAACAGAGTGAGGCCCCATCGCTACAAATAATCAAACATCAGCCAGGCGCGGTGGCATGTGCCTGTAGTCCCAGATACCCAGGAGGCTGAGGCAGGAGAATTGCTGTCCTCCTGCCCCTGGAAGCCTCTAGTTTGCTTTATGTCTCGGTGGCTCACCCTATTCTGGACACTTTGCATAAACAGAGTCCCACAGGCTTGTCCTCAGGTGTCTGGCTCCATCACTTGCATAATGGCCTTGAGGTTCTCCATGCCGCAGCGTGCACCAGGACAGCTGCTTCCTTCCTTTTTCAGGCTAATTCTCCCCTGCACGCATGGATCACTTTTGGTGCATCGGTCCACCCACGAGGGACACTTAGGTGGTTCCTGCCTTCTGGCTGCCATGAACATGCACGGACAAGCATTTGTTTGAGTCTCTGTTTTGCAGCCTCTTGGTGAAAACCCTAGGAGAGAACTGCTGGGTCCTACAGTGTTTCCACGCTTAGCTTTTCGAGGAACTGCCACACTGTTCCCCATGGCAGCTGCACCCTTCTGCTCTTCCACCGTGATGCACAAAGGCACCAATACCTCTGTCTCTATGTGCAATGACTTTGCCCCTCTGAGAGCCGTCCGCACTGGCCAACAAGCAGCAGCATCCCCCGGGAGCGTGTTCTGAATGCCTGGCACGTCTCCAAACACACCTGGAGAAACCACCTGGACGGTGCTCAACCTTGAACCTCTGAAGCTTTTAGACACTGTCCTGATGCCAGGTGCCAGCCCAGAGCTTCAGGTCCAATGTGTCTGGGCATGGGGGTTTTCATAGGCTGCCCAGATGACCCCACTGTGTAGCCGGGGTTGAGACGACGGCCCTGGGAGAACCTTCTGCTGCCACCTGGGCTGTTCTGCGGGGAGTGTGCTGGCTGGAAGGCAGCGATCAGAGGCCGCTTTGGGAGCAGCCCCTCATCCTGCTGCACGCAGCTCACAGACTCTGAATGTTGAGTCACAAGGGCTGAGCCCTGATTTCAAGGAGAACGTCCGGCTCTGCGGGATCCTGGCGGCCAGGCTGGGCTTCGAGGGTGTGCACCTGTGCAGGCTTCTGGGGTTGAGTTCGGAAAGGCCGGCAGGAGGTGCAATGCTTGTGGTCACTGTCTGGAATTCTTAATGCTTCCAAAACAAGGAGCCCTGCATTCTTGCTCTGTGCGGGACCACACGGTGAGTCCTGCTGGCAGCCGCTTTCCTGTAGCCAGCAGGACCCCAGGACCCCTCCTCGATCATCTCCTGCCTCCACCTTCTGCCTCTCATCCTGACACAGGAGATGGGGACACAAATGGGGAGGGCCTGTGGCCTCTAGGAAGGAGTCCCAGCAGAGGAACCCCTTCCACAGGGCACCCTTTCCTCAGGGAGGGGCTGGGCCAGCAGTCACGCCCAGTGAGATTCCCGTGTGTGGGGGCTTCAGTCTTCTCAGGGGACACCTGCCCAAGAGGCAGGGAGCTTGGGTGGGGGCTGTACAGGTGTGGGCTTCCGTCCTGGGCTGCGGCTGCCTAGTCCTGCGGCTTCTGAAGTGTTCCCCAGCCTCAGAGTTCAGCCCTCATCTGTAAAGTAGGTTTAACAAAACTGACTCCAGGTGAAGAAAATGGAGCAATGTGCTCCGGGCACGGCGCCCATTCCTGTTCCCGGAGACCGCGGTGGTTCTCACTGTGTGGCGTGTGCCTCCCGCCTCCTCTCCCTTCCAACCACCTTTCGGGTGCTGAGCCGGGTCGAAGGAACGTTTCGTCTCCTGCCTCAGAGGCTCTCCGAAGCCAGCCCTGGCCCCACTGTCTTGGGCTGGGCTCAGCTCAGCACGCAGGCACCGGGACCTTACCTGTTTGGCTGCCGACGGTCAGGTTCTGCCGCAGAAGCACGTTCTCTATGCAGCAGCCGATGTTCAAGCTGGGGGTCCGCGCGATCCTCAGCACACTGACCACGTCGTACAAGCCCCGCGTGTTCAAGAAGACAGTGTCATTCTGCAGAGCCTGGTCCAGCAGGCTGTTGTCCGTCTTGTTGATCCAGTACACGTTGGGCCTGGGGTAGCCGTTTATGGATGTACACGTGAAGGTGAGCTCATCCTGGGAGGGGCTGTGGGGGGTGCTGACAACAGGCACGCTGAAGTTTGCTGCAGGGGAGGGAAACAGGTCGTGAGAAATGCCAGGCCCTGCTGGTCAAGAAACAGAGGGTACACAATGCCAAGGTTGGGTCAGAGGGTAGGCGGCCCATTGTGCCCCAACATGGGTGACAGGCCAGGACCAGGGCTGTGGTCTGGGCAGCAGGCTCGGCCCAGTCCTGCCCAAGAGTCATCCCCCAAGCCAGTCCCAGTAGCCAGGGACCGCTGAGCCTGGCAGGCAGTGACTGGCACCCACAGACCCCCCACTCCACGGCCGCTGGCTGTGCCAGGACCCCCCCATTTGCATCTGGTCTTTCTCGCTGCTGACGCGCGGGCTCGCAGTCCATCTGAAATGGACACGGCTGTTCTCCCCGATGAACTGCCCAGAGCTCCTTGGTTGCCTCTAATTTTTCTCTTAAATTTCGTTCTCATTTAGTGCTTTATAGCACTCCCTTCAAATTTCACTTTTAAAACTCTAGTTTGGGCGTGGTGGCTCATGTTTGTAATCCCAGCACTTTAGGGGGGTGAGGCAGGAGGATCACTTGTGTCCAGGAATTTGAGACCAGCCTGGGCAACATAGTGAGACCCCATTTCTACAAATAATCGAAAATTAGCCAGGCGAGGTGGCATGTGCCTGTAGTCCCAGATACTCAGGAGGCTGAGGCAGGAGAATTGCTTGAGCTCAGGAAGTCAAGGCTGCAGCATGATCGTGCTACTGCACTCCAGCCTGGGCAACAGTGAGACCCTGTCTCAAAAAACAAACTGGCCAGGTGCCGTGGTTCATGTCTGTAATCCCAGCACTTTGGGAGGCCGAGGCGGGCAGATCACGAGGTCAGGAGTTTGAGACCAGCTTGGCCAACATGGTGAAACCCTGTCTCTACTAAAAATACAAAAATTAGCTGGGTGTGGTGGCGGGCGCCTGTAGTCCCAGCTACTCAGGAGGCTGTGGAGGAGAATTGCTTGAACCCAGGAGGCGGAGGTTGCGGTGAGCCAAGATCGCGCCACTGCACTCCAGCCTGGGTGACAGAGCGAGACTCCGTCTCTAAATGAATAAATAAATAAATAAAAACAAAAACTAACTCAAAAGAGGCAAAGACAGCCAGGGTAGGAGCTCTTCCGGGAAACCAAGCAGCCGCAGGTCACGCACTAAGGATTTTTCAGCTGTTTAGCTTCCCTCGAAGTTAGACAGAAGCCTGATAACACAGAGGAGAATTTTCTTCACTGGAAGAAACAGTGAATGAGCCAGGGAGGGAGTTTCATGAATATTTTTCCACGATGCAAGGCTGGGATGGACCCAGCTCTCTCCGCCTCGACGGTCCTACCTGCCACATGCAGCGTGACCACAACGCTCAGCACCTCCTGAAATCCCAGGGATTGGCTCAACACCAGGCAGTGAAACTTCTGCTCATCCTGGGGGGTGACGTTGAACAAGCGCAGGGAGAAGTCGCCCCGCTGCATGCCGGCCGGTGACATCAGGGCCCGGTTCCGGTAGTGGCTGTCCACGTTGTCCAAGGAGCTGTTCTGCGGGATGTGGTAAGTCACCACGGTTTTCGACTCGCTGGTTTGCCAGTATACGTAAACGTCATTTAAATCAAAACGGCTTCCTTCGGGGCACGCGCAGCTGAGCTCCACGTCGCTGCCCACCATTGCTCTGACTTCCTTCTCCTGAGTATCTGCAATGACCCAACAGGTGTAAAATCTGTTTTTTGAGGCTGATGCCCAGGCCATGAAGCTACTCTATGGGGCAGGCTTTGGGTTTCAAGCCTCAAACACCAACTGTGGCTCAGAATTTATTAACAAGGCACATGTAGGAATGCAGTCAAACTTGAAAAATGCGGACATTTCATGGCGAGGTCCGTGTCAGCCTTTGGCTTTGATGACACACTCCCGTTATGTAAGGAGCTGCCTTGGGGAGCAGCGGCTGGATGCGGCCCGGCCGCTCAGTGTTATTTGTGTTACTCAGCACAATTTTTACTACTTCTTGGGAGTCTATAATTAATGTAAAATAAAAAGCTCTTTAAAAATCAGGCATTTAAGGGAAAACAATTTCTCAGCAATTACATTATCATGCTGCTCATTCTTGCATCAGGAAAGGTCTCATAAATGTAACAGACACAGGGTGGCTTTACTGTTTGTGCAACCGCATAAATGCCTGTGGGAAAATCTTTTTATTTTGAGACGGAATTTTGCTCTTGTTGCCCAGGCTGGAGTGCAATGGCACGATTTTGGCTCACTTCAACCCCCGACTCTGGGGTTCAAGCGATTCTCCTGCCTCAGCCTCCCAAGTAGCTGGGATTACAGGTGCCCGCCACCACGCCCAGCTAATTTTTTGTATTTTTAGTAGAGATGGGGCTTCACTACATTGGCCAGGCTGGTCTCGAACTCCTGACCTCAGGCAATCCACCCGCCTCGGCCTCCCAAGGTGCTGGGATTATAGGAATGAGCCACTGCGTCCAGCACCTGCAGGGAAATCTGTGTGTGTCCCCTGCCCCCAAAGCCCTCTGAGCTGGAAGGCCCAGCAAGGTTTCGGGTTTGTGCTGCGGTGCCTCGTCCCTATTCCTGGCTCTTCCAGAGGCTGGTGGCCCTTAGGGCTCAGCAGGGCTGCTGCTTGGGACACGGAGACCAGGGGACCCAGGAAGCTCTGGCTCAGAGGAACTGCATTCTGCCCGCAACAAACACAAAATCAAAAAATAACTCCGGAGTTTGCAGAAGTGTTTCTCTTTAAGGAAACGCTTCTATCCTGTGCAGCAACCTAGGTTTAGGGCCCACCTTTCTCCAAAGGGCCACTTGAGAAGCAAGAAGGAGCCTGGTGAGGCTGCTCCCAGTGCCCTGTAGCCGGCAGTCCACACAGTCGGACAGCCTATCTCTGAGCTGGGCGCTCACACCCATGGCAAAGCACCCCCTGAACTTACCGGCTCGAAGGCTGCTGAAGAGCAGGAGGAGCAGTCCAGGACTGGAAAAAACAACCAGAAAGGCAGGTGAGGTGGGGCCGCTGGTGAGTTACCTACATCTTCCAAACGGGAGCAAGCTGGTTCCCACGGGCAGGAGGCGGTTACGCCCATCACAGAAATGTGAAGGCAGAGCCAGGAGCCTGCCTGCCTCTGCGCTCCATGGGAATTCAGGGTCCAGGGCCAGGACCACCACCCCTCGGCTGAAGGCAGAGCCAGGAGCCTGCCTGCCTCTGCTCTCCATGGGAATTCAGGGTCCAGGGCCAGGACCACCATCCCCCTGCCCAGCACAGCAAGTCTGAGAGGCTGGCAGCCTCTCGCCACTCTCTAGTTCTTGTGATAACAAATCCCCGGAAACACAGTGATGCCAGCGTGAGGATGAAGGGGAGCGAGGGACGCCACCAAGGCTGGTCTAACCTTCCTGGGGACGGATGCCAAGAAATCATAGGACATCAGAGAGAGGAAAAAAAAGGCTTTCAGGGCACATATAGCAGGAGCGTCACTTAAAATGCTGGGGAGACTAAGAATATCGGGCATGCCTGTGACAGGGTCAGGTGAGTGACAGGACAGCCCTGTGGGGAACGCGGATCATTTTGAAACCAAACCTGAGCTCCTCCTGTTTCAGATCCTGCTGCGGCTGGTGCCCCTGCCTTGGGCAGCAAATTCCCCTCAAGACTCCAGTGCTCCTGGCCATCTTGGGTCTGGGAGCCTTTGCACCGTGCACACCATAGGCTCACCACCTCCACCTGCCAGCCCCCAGGATGCCTTCCCCAGGCGGAGACCCTTAGTGGTTGGGTCCACTTTGGTAGCCGCGCTTACCCCAGCCCCCAAAACCATCAGTTTCTGTGACCAGTTCCCCACAAAGTGGGAGTCCCGGGAGCAGGGATATCTCCTTCTCTGATGTCCCTGCACCTCCAAGGTCTGGGAGATGCTCATCCCTCTTCTCTGTGGCCTCTGCCTGGGAAATCTTGGGGTCTTTGTAAGCCAAAGGCTGGTCTCGTGGGAACCTCCCAGTGGGCTGTCCCTGAGCCCTGGGGCCACAGAAACCCCTGCCCCACCCACGATGACCGTCATCTGAGTCCGCATGGCGGTGTGCCTGTGCCAAGTGAGCACACATGCACCAAAGCCAGCCGCAGGTCACCAGGGGCTCTTGAAGCCTGCAGGCGGCCCTTCCTCTCTCTCCCTCTCCTCCTGTTGGGGCCACCATTCTGGTTTGCAAGATGGCTGTGATGGCCTCCAGCAAGCCCCCTGAATCCACCTGGACCTCCCTGCCTCCAAGCTCAGCCCCTTCAGGCATCTCCCCAGAGCCACCATCTAAAGGACAGCTGTGAGAACCCCTCTGTGCCCCCATTTGTCTCCTACAGGGCCTACGTTCATCACCGGCCCACAAGGCCCGTCCTGTCTATGGAGGCCTCCTCAGGACACCTGGGGGCTTCCTGGGCCGGAGTGTGCCTGCTCCAGGCTCCTTCTGGCTTGTCCCCTCCCTGGGTGCCGCCTACCCAGCAGCCTCTGTGTCCTCTCCTTGGACCCTCAGCACCCCTGCATCTAACCTACCCCCCAGCCCGAGTTTTCATCAAGACCCAGCACAGACAGGGTAGCCTACTTGAAGGTGTGAGTGGCGGAGGGCTAAGACATTTGGGAGGCCTATGACATTCCGGGGCTTTTAAATTCTTTGTCTCTAGGGCAGGATCATAACTGCATACATTTCTAACGGTGAGGGGTACTGGGGAGTGTGACACCGGTGTGGCCAGGCTCCGGGCTATACGGGAGGCATCCCTGAGGTCAGGGGCCTCACAGGTTCACCCAGGGGAGCCCGGGCTGC